TTTTAGCCACGGATACTCGTTTTAGTAACCGTGTTTCAGCAGTGTGAATCACTCAATTTATTCAGTATAACATTAATGAAATGAATTGAGAAATTCTCAAACGCAAGTTATTTCACCACTCTGGGTGACGTGGAAGTGACTTTCTCACGTGCGTACCACCTTCAACCTGCATTCACAAGTCACTCGGCGAGCATCGGCGTGGTACGCATGGAACGCGCCACAGCAATCCCGGATGTGACATTTCAGTAGCGGCTTTGCCCTACATATTTCCTTCATGTAAAAACTATCCTTAATATCAAAGCAGAGTATCTTACTTACTGGCACGTTCGCTGTCTATTTTGGATGGCTAAAGTTCCTTCAAAACCTTGAAAGTAACCCCGGCCGTGACAGCACCGGTGTAGCGAACGCCAATTTGTTATGCGCACTATTATTGCGCAGTAGTTTCAGTGACGCAATTCATGTGATATACCTTATAATATCCACTAGGCGGGCAATATACCATCCATTTTCACGTAACTGAGTTTCAACCAATCACAACATGCGTAGCAACAGTGAAGTGTTAAATTATGTTATAGTGCACCTGGAGAGGCCATGCGTATGTAGTATTCAACTATTGCATATAAACTAAACGATGTAATACAATGCCCTTCTGAGACTGAATATTAAATTGGGATATATTATTCCTTTTTGTTTTATACAGTTAACCCGAATAAAATGTAGAAATATTAATTTATTGATTTTGCACATACAATCTACTCAGATGGGATTTCCCATCATCGCTAAGGTAATAATTATAATTTTAAAAACATTTATTGTGATTGGATTAAAATAATAACACTGCTATTACCACCTGTGTAACAAATAATGACCATGATTCTCTAATGTTTACTTAAAAAGAAAAGCAGACAGGGTTGCCAAGCTTCTGCCTTTTTTGCTATTAGGGAATGTTGATAATATACATGGTGTCAGTTATTCAAACAATGTTCTGAAATGGAAATCTTTATACTTATTATACTTGAAACTATTCCGACGCGCCTGACGCCGGTTTTGGAATTTGTTTCAAGTTGCTTTAATTCGTGTCATTATCAATAATTTAATAAGTGAATCATGTAATTTACAAATATCTGTGTTCTGGTAAGTAAGATAAACTGAACACAAATTTGAGAAGGGAGGTTTGAATAACACTAATTATGATTGTCAAAAAAGTGAGAAATAATGCGAGTTGGGACGATTTTTCACATTTGTGTTTGTAAGATGTTAAATATATATATACCGTATAGTTCTTGCAATAAGTAGTATCAAATCTGTGATGTGTAATTTCATTGTTTTGACCTCTGATTCTATTGATTACAAAATTGCTATACGTTTTTAGTCGACTGTATGCGGAAGGATGCAACATTATAACAAAAAATAATTAACAAAAAATCAGAAGTAATAGACCAATCAAATATAATATAAACGGCTACTTAACATTTGCAATGAAACTAAAACTCCCCGT